CCCCCCCGGCCCCCTGGCCCTTTTTTTGGGAGGGGGGAGAGAGGTTTTCTTGGGGGGGAGGGAATTCCCTGGCTTTTTTTTCCCCCACCCCCCCGGGGTGGAAAGACGGCCCCGTTTATTTCGTCCTACCCCCCCCAGTCCTTGGGGCCAGGGGCCCCCCAAAAATACCAACCCCGGGGGGGTTGGCCTTGGGCCCCACCCACCCCTTTCCCGGAGAAACCCCCCTCCCGGGGGGGGGAAAACCCCGGGTTTTCCCCCCTTTGAGGGGGGGGGTTTTCAGGCCCCCCCCCCCCCCCCCCCCAGGTACCGTTGGCAGAGTAGGGAGGAACGATTGGCCATCAGTGATCGGTCCTGTGGGAACAACGCTCCGTCCTCTCGAGGACGCGTGGTTAATGGTCTAACCGCTAAGGCATGCAAAACACAAGAGTACGCCCCCCCGCCCCTCTCCCCAGGTATGTCTCAACCGACGACGATAACGTCGAGCTGAACGTCGCGAGCGCCGACATGGCCGGGATCTTCGCGAGAAACAATGTCGCCGACGTCCTTCGCGGCGCCGTGCTCTCGCCGGCCCTGACGGTGGACGCCTACTACTCCCCCGTGGTGTCCAACCTGTCCCCGCTGTTCAAGCTCCCGGTCGACGGCGTCCAGAGGGGGCGGGACCACGGGCTGCCCTCGTACAACGGTGCCCGAGAGGTGAGGATGAGATAGACACGTGGTCAGGCGGGTTTAGGTGTCAGTCGTATTTAGGAGATAGGTTCCCGTGCTGCCAGTAATGGTTGAGTTCAGGAGACTTGCCATGCTGCCGGTTGTAGTCGTCAGTTGGGGCCACGAGACTCTTGCGCCTTCCAGCAGTACTGTAGCCAGTCGGGGGTCCAGAAGACTCTCGTTCTACTTGTAGTCAAGTCAGGTTCACTCAGACAATGAACCGGAACACTCGGGGTGTACATGGAGTTACCTATTTACCCCCCCCCGTCCGTAGGCGTTCTTTCCACGGCTGCTGCTGCTGCTGCTGCTGCTGCTGAACGTCGTCGGTCGTTGTTTGGTGGCGTTTTTCGTTTTTCGCGCGAAGGCGTTCGGCCTGGACCCGGCGACGACGTTCGAGGACGTCTCCGACGATGCCGACCTGGCCTCGCGCCTGTCCGACGCGTACGGCGGGGACATCAACGGCCTCGACGCCTTTACGGGGGCGCTGGCGGAGGGGACGCACTCGAGCACGGGGGGCGTGCTGGGGGACCTCCTCGTCGCCGCGTGGTCGGACCAGCTCACCCGCTCCATCGCGGGGGACAGGTTGGTTGGTTGGGTTTTGCGGTTGTTTGCGGTGTGTTGGTGGCTGTTGTTTAGTTGCAGCAGAGGCACTGGGAGCGGCTGCGGTTAAAAAACGGAAGTATATTAGTTGTATTCGTTTGAGAGGGGAGTGTGGGTGTTTGTAGAGTCAAGAGGTGGCATGTCCCGCCCACTAGGAGTACTCGTTGGATAGTACTCCGTATAATACGTTTGGAGAGAAGACGAGATTTATTTTCGTGGCCTTGTCCCGACCCTCTCCCGAACCTGTGCCGGGAGATGGGCGACTCTACCATGCGTCGCACCATCTCCGTCTGTAACAAGGCGCGAATGCCGCACGGGAGCCTCTGTGTGATCCCGACCCTTCTCCTGTGTTCAGTGTGAACTCTCCACGGCACTGGTGCATGTTGCATACCGTGACTGTAAAATCAATACCACGGTAATACAGCAGTCTCCCTAAACGGTATTGCACTCCTCCCGAGACCTTCGGCCGTTTCACCGCTGTTCTTAACGCCTCTTTTTTTTTCTTCTTTCTCTCTTTTTCGCAAATCTGGCTGTTCTCGTCCGCAACCCCGCCGGGCCTGTCGTTGCTATGTATGTGAACGCCGCGATTTTTTTTACGCACGTCCCGAAACCCAGGTTCTATCACCTACACGCCCGTTACATGGAGAACGTGGCCAACACGACGCTCATGGATGTCATAGGCCGCGTCACCAACGCCACGGACCTACCGCTCTCCGTATTTCAGGTGTGCATACAAGTACAAGTAGTCAAATTCGTTCGGCCACTTGTGCGCATCTATTTGTGCCCATCCCATCAAATCGTTGTTAAAGTCCCACCAATCGTTGATGAAGTCCCATCAATCGTAAGAGTAGGCAGCCCCCGTGCCTGAGTGTCGAAAGTACGGTAGATGCTGGGGGCTCATTCGTCGGCCGTCATTCGCACTTGAATGTTGCAGGCCCATTTCCTTCCGAGCTTCCTCCTGTTATGTTGTGCTAGAATGTATGACGCATGGAAGAGCTCATCCTGTTTTGTAGACGACTGACTTTGTTCAACTCTGTTTTCTTTTTCTTCTTGTTCTTGTTCTTGTTCTTCTTCCTTCTCATGCACCTCGTCATTTCCAAAGGCGCCCAGCATCACCGTCTGCGACGGAGGGTGCGCCGGGGACGGAGACGGCATCGCCGTATTGTCGGACAACTTCGAGCTAGAGTGGGAGGTCAGTCGTCATAGACTACGAGATCAGGCATGGAGAGTATTTTGCAAGGCCTCGTTGTATGTTTGGTGCGGGTATTCTATTTTCTATCTAGCGCATCGTCCCCAAGAAAATTGTTTTTTTTTTGCTCCCCAGACAAGAGGGTGTGCGCTTGTGCACCGCTTGTGCGTTTCATCTTGGCGCGCGCGAAGTCAAGGTTCGACACGCTTATTTTGAGGTGTTTCTTTTTTGGCCTTGCTGTGATGTTTATTCAACGTGGACCGTCGCCAGGAACTGGAGGACGACCAGATGGCCATCACGTTCCGGTGCAAGGATCTCGGGACGTCGGGATGGATGGGGGTAGGGTGGGGAGGGCTGACGATGGAGCTGGCCCAGGTAAAGAGGAAGGGTTGGACAAGGTAGACATCTCCACCCTGCCTGTTGCCGGTGTTCCTAGTAAAATGCTGTCCCCGCAAGCTATATCTGCGAAAACAAGTCGATTAACGGTAGAGACCCCACAGGGCCGACCCTGACCACACGTAAAACGAACTGACCAAGCTTCCCCCCCGCCCTTCCTCCCACGCCCCTGCCTCGAAGGATTTTATCATCTGCGAGATCACCGACGAGAGCACTGCTTCCTGCACAGATCGTGCTTACACCACCGAGCGCGAGGCACCCCCCCTGGACTCCGCGGGCGAGACCTCCCTTAACTTCACCGACCTCTCCATGGAGGACGGGTGGACGTCCGTCACCTTCCTGCGAGACCGGGGGGCGTTCGATGACCAGGACTACGACTTGGGTTCGGTGCGTTGTTGGTGGTGATAGTGATGGTGGTGTTGTCTTACCGTTGTCATCGCTTCCTTACAAGGTAGTGGAGGGCCGTTGTTCGCCTCATTCTCGTACCCCCCCTGGCGCGGCGTCCTGCTCCAGCCGGTAAGGTCGGCTAGGCGCCCCTTCTCGGAACGGTTTCGTCTTTTAAGTCAATTCCCACACCCTTTCAAGGCCGTGTGCCCCCTCTCGCAACGGTTTCGTCTTTTGAGTCAATTCCCAAACCCTTTTTAAGGCCGTGTGCCCCCTCTCGCAACGGTTTCGTCTTTTGAGTCAATTCCCAAACCCTTTTAAGGCCGTGTGCCCCCTCTCGCAACGGTTTCGTCTTTTTAAGTCAATTCCCACACACTCGAAAAGCCTGTGCGCCTTCTCGCACCGCTTTCGTCCTTGAGTCAATGCCTGCCAACTTAACGAAACAAGCAAGAACACCCCGCCTCCAATCCAACAAACAGGACATCGACAACGCCGCGGACACTCTGATGATATACGCCTACCGAGAGGGGGAGGGTATCGGGCAGCACCCGAACGGAAACCGCGGGGCCGCCACGGTCAACTTCGCCACCGGCAACGTGGAGGCGGAGTGCGACGACGACGACTTCGTGCTCCTGCACGGGGCCCTGATGCTTGTCGCGTGGATGGTGCTGGCACCCGTGGGCATCTACTACGTCAGGTGTTTGTTTTTGTTCCCGTGGTGTGTAATAATTCAGTCGCTGGTGATGTTGTTTTGCGTTTTTTGTGTAAACAATGCCTAAATTATGACCACTCGTTGGTCTAGACATTTGTGTCAATATTTCTTCCAGCTCGTTGTTTGTGTTGAACGAAAGGCCAACTGTCTTTCGTTCGCGCTTTGTCTCTTTGTACGTCGTCTGACTGCTGATATGAAGCCCGTTGTTTTGTATTTCGAACATCGCGGTGGCGCCAGGTACCGCAAGGGGGAGAGGGTGAAGTGGGCCGGTTTCGAGTGGTTCGAGATGCACCAGGAGATCATGATCGTCGCTTCCGAGGCCGTGCTCCCTCTCGGGGTACGCTTCATTCGCCAATCGTCAACCACCAATCACCAATCACCAATCACCAATCACCAATCGACAACCACCAACCACCACTTACCGTTCACCAATCACCAGTGACCAGTCATCAACCATCATCACCAAATACCACTTATCGTCCGCCAATCACCAATCGCCAATCATGAACCATGAGTCACCGCGCTTTCGTTCGTTTTTGGCCTTTTTCTTTATATATTTTCGTGCGTGTGTTATCGGGTCGTCCCTGATTTTTCGCGTGGCTACGTAAATTGCTCATTTTTTATTTCATGGTGAAATGCTGGTGTTGCCAGCCCGTCACCACGAGTTGTTTTGTTGACGTTGAGGATTGTTGCCCGCTTGGTGTTGTCGCTGTGGTCGCACTTGTGAGGTCATGTTTTTTTGTTTTTGTTGTCGGATTCGCAGATAGATCCCCACCGTTCTCGCCTCCGGCCGCCAGCAAGAGCACGGCCTGCACGCACAACGGAGATATTCATTAACCGCCTTTAGCCGCACTCGTCACATATCCCCAGTTTGGCCGTGATTGAGAGAGAGGGGGGGGGGGGGGGGGCAAATTTTTTTCCCTTTTTCAAAAAATTTTCCCCCCCCCCCCTTTTTTTCCCCCCCACCCCTTTTTTTTTTTTTCCCCCCAAAAAAAATTTTCCCCAAAAAACCCCCCCGCCAAAAAAAAAAATGGCAAAAAAATTTAAACAAAATTT